TCTTTGACACTTGCTGCAGGGTTCAGCAATTTGCCACAACATCATGTTGTTTATCCTGAAACTCAGTGTGCAAATATTAAACCTGACTGCTCAGGTCAGCTGTGTGGCTGACAGCTCTGTGCATGGTGCTGCAGAGCTGGATACACCTGCTGCACTTTTTACTTCTGTTTAATGAAGTGAAATTAAAAATGAAAGATCAGGAAATCAGACTCAGAGCCATGTGATTTTAAATCTCAGTGACACTAATGAAATTAAATGATAGAACATGTGATGAAATAAAGGTCTGTGTGTGTGTGCGTGTGCGTGTGTGTGTGTGGGGGGGGGGCAAGGATTTTCTGCGCAGTGTACCAGGGGCACAGAGAAAAGTTGTCGTACCATAGGCACGAGGAGTGTGTGTGTGTGTGTTACTGTGTAAGTCATAATTCTCAGTGTTTAATGAATCAGGATGCTAAGCAGGGAGCTGCTGTGTGTATAGAAACGTGACTTCACTGCGGTTCATGAAAGCTCGCTGAGGTCTTGAGGAGTTTAAAGGATTAAAGGAAGCTCAGAGTTGTTTTTGTCATTAATAATAAATGATTCCTGAAAGAATTCATCCACAGTCCATCAACAAATTAATTATTTTTCACCCTGTTACAGTAAATGTTTGAAGGCTGTTTGATTATTTATTTGTTTTATTAACCTTCAGTTCATCCAAAACTGAGACGATTGAAATCTTAAAATTTTCAATGTTTATTATTTTTCGACTCAGACACAGCAACGCATATAAAAACTATACTAAAATACAGAAAACAGTGTTATAAAATAAATACAGACATAAAGAGAAATCAGAATTAAAAACAAAAAAACTGCAAAAATATAAAACATCAGGATATTTGGTTGCCAACAGTAACAGTGAGGCACAACCTGTGACTGTCATTTCAGATGATGTTGAGATTATTTAGCATGACCTCCTTCCTGTGGACCTCCTTCCCATCACAGTCACGTGATCATTAAAAAGTTAGGTGCAGCTGTGATAGTGGCCCAGTCGTTATCAGATACCAAATACAGTGTCCAACAGATAAGTGGTGAAAGTAAACAAAAAGGATGTGTGTTCCTGGAAGAACAGATGAGTAACAGTTTGTTTCTGGATGGCTTGTATTTCAAATCTTAGTTTTTTAGAGCAACAATCACCACAGCTAATGTTAGCATGTTTGATTACCAACAGTGTTGGGGAGTAACGGAGTACATGTACCGCCGTTACGTATTTAAAA